GGCTCAGATCGGGCAGAATTCCTACACTGTGTCTCTAGTAGTAACAGGCTGGTTTATATGCTATAAAGTGCTATGCTCAGAAAAGTTTGGAAATCACTGTGGAAATGGATTTCATGGCTGTGGGTTTTAAAGGGAAGGAGGTCAGGGGCGGTGAGAGGTTCTCATTTAACCCCACAACTGAACAGGTTCATGGAAAATGTAATTAAAAGATAATGGAACTTTAGAATGAATTTTTTAAATCATTTTATTGGGGGCTCATACAACTCTTATCACAATCCATAAATGTGTCAATTGTGTAAAGCATACTTACACATTTGTTGCCCTCATCATTCTCAAAACATTTGCTTTCTACTTGGGCTCTTGGAACCAGCTCATTTTTCGTTTTTTGTCCCCTTCTTACTACTCCCCTCTCGAACTTTTTTAATACTTTTATTGGGCTTCTTACATCTCTTTTCATAATACAAACATTCCTCCAATGTGTCAAGTACATTTGCACATGTGCCACCATCATCATTTTCAAAGCATTCTCTTCCTACTTGAGCCTGATATCAGCTCCCTATTTCTTCCCCCTCCCTCCCCCGCCCGCCTGCCCTCACTAACCTTTGATAAGTTACAGATTATTTTTTCCATATCTTACATCATCATCTGTCGCCCCTCACCCCTTTTCCATTATCCGCCCCCCTGGGAGGGGGTTCTAGGTTGATCCTTGTGATCAACTCCCTCTTTCTCCCCCCATTCTCCCCTAATCCTCCTAATCTCTACTCTCCTTGAGGGGTTTATCTATCCTGGATTCCCTGTGTTGCGGGCTCTTATCTGTAGCAGTGTGCACGATCTGGTCTAATCTGACTTGTAAGGTAGAACTGAGGTCATGATAGTGGGGTGAAGGAAGTACCAAGGAGCTAGAGGAAGTTTGTGTTTCATCAGTGCTATACTGCACTCTTACTAACTCATCTCTTCCCTGTGACCCCTCTGTGAGGGGATATCCAATTGTCTACAGATGGGCATCAAGTCTCCACACTCCATGCCCTCCCTCCCCATTCACCTTGGGTATGGTTTTATTCTGGGTCTCAGATTAAGGTGACCAGATGTCCCGCTTTTTGCGCAACAGTCCTGATTTTTAACAATTTTTCCCACGTCCCACAGCGTTTTTAAAAAGTCCCGATTTTTGGAAAGAATGCACGACAAGCTAGGGTATACGGTTTT